GTTGTATAGATACTTCGGAAATTTTACATTTGTTAGATGTACGCACCAGCAAGGAATTGGAATGTATAGATTTGGCCAATGCTGGTATGGTTTATGGTTCGGCACAATTTAAGGGTTTGGCTACGGGTGGTAATGTTTCGCCCGCTTTGGCTTTGGCTGGTACACATGCCTGCTACAATTCTTTAGCTTGCCGTGGTGTACAGCTGTATGTTTTGGGAGCAAAATCAATGCATTCGATTGGTGTAAGAACTTGGATGGAGAGGATAACATATTTGGTGAGAAAACTTTACAATAAAAAGTAAACTGATGCTAAAAATTTATGATTTCTTTTAGGTTAAAAATCAACGTTGGCAAGAAGCCTGTGATTTAGCCTTAGATGGCTATAAAGCGGCAGGCGAGCGACCCAAAAGGAAACAACAGGCCAAGGAGCGTATTATTATGTTATTTAAGGAGTACATAGCGGCTTCTGCTAGAGCACCCGATTACTGTTTAGGCGCCATTATCAAATGTCTCATAACCATAGGAGAGCTAGAACTGCTATGGACCCAGCTATGGGAACGTTTACAGAACAAAGAACTATTCCTACACCATATTACCGCCGCACATATAGAAAATGACGATATACACCGTGTTAACCCTATTATTTCCCAAGCCCTAGTAGAATATTGGCTTAAGATATCACCCTCACAATTAGAAGAAATTATCTTGAAAATGGACTGGACCTGTTTGGACTTAAATCAAGTCCTTAAGGCGGCCAAAAAATATAAACTCTATAAAGCACAAATATTCCTAAATGCAAATGCTTTGCATGACTACACTGTTTCTTTAACGGAACTTATACCCTTGCTGGACTATGAACATCCTGATTTGGGTAATTGCCTTTTGGTTTATATTTCTAGTAGTTTAGCCGGTCGTGGTTATCCTCAGGGTGACATACCCGAGGAACTAAGACAAAATGTTAAACATGATGTTTTACGTTGTTTAACTTCACTGCATTCCAATACTAGTGAACCGGATGAATTGCCATATCCCTATTTGAGGGCTCTATTGAAATTTGATATACGCGAGACTTTGAATGTGATATCGTTGGCTTTTCAGGAGAAGGAATTCAATTGTGAACTGGGTTTCCAGCATCGCAAAAGGATTATAAATATATTGTTGGAAATTATGACGCCGGAAAATAATACGGTGAGTGCTGATTATTAAAAACGGAGTTTTCATCAAAATTTTAGTGAAACATTTTCAACCAAATTTTTTGGTGAAAAATTTTCACCAAATTTTTAGTGAAAAATTTTCACAAAATTTTTAGTGAAAAATTGTCACCAAATTTTTAATGAAAAATTTTCATCAAATTTTTTAATGAAAAATTTTCACACCAAATTTTTAGTAAAAAATTTTCACCACATTTTTATTAAAAATTTTCATCAAATTTTTTAATGAAAAATGTTCACCAAATTTTTAAGTGAACAATTTTCCACCACATTTTAAGTGAACAATTTTTAATTTTCTTATGCAAAATTTTCACCAATTTTTTTTACAAATTTGCACCAAATTTTTGGTTAAACATTTTCATAAAATTTTTTAGTGAAAAATGTTCACCAAATTTTTTAGTGGAAAAATTTTCACAAATTGGTTAGTAAAAAATTTCACCAAATGGTAGTAAAAAAATTTCACCAAATCGGTTAGTAAAAAAATTTCACTAAATTTTTTAGTGAAAAATTTTCAACCAAATTTTTAGTGAAAATTTTTCACCAATTTTTTAGTGAAAATTTTTCACCAAATTTTTTAGTGAAAATTTTCACCAAATTTTTTAGTGAAAAATTTTCAACCAAATTTTTTAATAAAAATGTTCACCAAATTTTTAATGAAAAATGTTCACCAAATTTTTTAATGAAAAATTTTCACCAAATTTTTTAGTGAAAATTTTTCACCAAATTGTTTTGTGAAAAATTTAGTGAACAGTTTTCACTAACTTTTAATGTTTCTACCGTACTTTTAATGAAAAGTTTCACCAATTTCACTAAAATATTAGTGAAAAATATTCATCAAAATATCACTTAAACATTGAATGAACATTTTTAGACATTTTATTTTCTACTGATTTCCTTTCCTCTTTTCCAGTGGTCCGAAATTGGTTGTCTACTCAATTTCATTGCCCAACAGATCTCACAATCCTGCTTGCCAGCCGATACACAACTCCTCGAAAAAGTCCTTAACTATTTATCTAAAGAGTCGATAGAAAATGAAAGTGCTCGCTTACATTCCGAACGTGAGAATGCCTGGCATGAGTTGCTGGTCAATAATTGTCTCGATGCCATAACCAACGATGAAGAACAATTAGAATTGGCCAAAAAGGCTCATTGTCATTATGTGGAAGAATATTTATTGGAAAAACTACAACGTTACGATAACATACTCGAGTGTTATCTCAACAATCCGTTGAGACACGAAACCATGTTTGTGTATATGGAACGACACAACAAGGATGAGGAGAGAAAAATCTATGAACAACTACGTAAACATATCAAACGTTTGCTGACAATAGATGCCCAAGAAACGACACGCATAGTGGATTTATATTTTAATAACAAAATCGGGGAATTGCTGGAAATGGTGGCAGATGATGAAAAGATTTTGTTTACATTTCTCAAACATTTGCAGCAAAGAAATGAAAACTTAGCCCAAGAACAAAAACTAAAACTTTTGGAGTTATTGTGTAAATTTGAACCTTTAGAGGTGGAAGAGTTTTTAAAGAAAACGGCAGGTTATCATACTCAGGCGGCCCTTAAATTGGTGCAACAATACCAACTCCTGCAGGCAGCCATATTCTTAGCAGAGAAATTATTTGATTATAAATTAGCTTTTAGCATTTCTATGGATATTTTAAAAAGTGCCAAAACGGAGAATATGGCCGAATGTGCCCAAAAGGTGTCAGCTTTATGTGCTCGCTCCTCCATGTGCTCTAAATCTTGTCTAACAGCCAAAGAACGTGAGGCATTGTGGATGGATTTACTAAGTTTATTTTACCTTTGGAGGAGTTTAAGTCCATAACAAAAACCATGCTGCATGAAGCCTCACAACATGTCGATCTGCCCAATTTGGTGCAGCTCATCATGAATACCCATAATGTTTCGGGAAGTTTTGGTGATATTAAGGAATTACTTTTGAGTATGTTAAATCAATCGAAACAGGAAACGCATGCCATGGAAATAAGTCAAAAAATAATGGAAAAAGAATTGGCACAAGAATTCCATAATTACCATAAAAAAGCCACACGTGGCCTATGGATAACCATGATGCGTTGTGTCGTTTGCCAACAACGTTTGTATAATCAATCGGCCATATTGATTTTAGGTTCCTGTGGTCATGCCATGCATGAACAATGTTCCCAAGAGTTTTTAACAAAACAAACTGTAAATCCCTCCAATGTTTTGACTGTGAACAACAGTGAACAATCATCAATGCAAGAGAATAATTTAGAATGTCCTTACTGCCTTAATGAAATCGATATTAGGATATTTGATAAACCTTTACAATTAGCCAAACCTAGTCATAATGTTATTAACTACAACAGCAATACTAATGCAAATTATAAAGCCAGTAACCGGGAATTGGGAGTTTTGCAATTAAAATCACCACCTAGAAAATTTGAAACGTTAGCACTGTTTTTGGGGGGACGCTGGACATAAACCATAATTCTAATTGTATACGTAAATTTAAACAATTTTAGAGAATTGCACTTGTTAACAACTCTACTCTCGCGCTTTTCTCTCACACTTATTTACTAATAATTGTCTTGTCCCGTTTTAGTTTTTAAGTTAATTGTATTTTTATATTAATTATTTATATAAAACAATTTAAAGTTATTTAACCAGTATTCTTATTAAGACTTTCTGTTGTTATACCATTAATATGATGGCTTTTTTCTATATTATCAGGGTATATAATTATTAATACAAAAGCAAATAATTTGGTCAATTTATATTATTTACTACTACTATTCTACTACTATTAGTTATTTGTATTTTGTTAAATTTATTAAATTATATATAAAATAAGTTATACATTCATATTATACATACATATATTTTATGTAACTAAAACAAAATGAAAAATATCTCTATATAAAATAAAAATTATAATATTTATAAAAATATCTATTATTTTGCAGTTTCTACAATACAATTATGTCGATTTGAGTCTGGAATCTCTAGAGAAGACCTGTTTTAAAAAGTCATATCTAACAGTTTTTTAAAACCAATTCTTGTTCTCAATATAAGAGAAATTTGTAAAACCCAAAATATTTTTATAGAAAATCTTGCACTATTGCAACAAATTTCAAAAGAAAATTTTGCACTATTGCAACAAATTTCAATAGAAAATTTTGCACTATTGCAATAAATTTCAATTGAAAATCTTGCACTATTGCAACAAATTTCAATAGAAAATCTTGTACTATTGCAACAAATTTCAATAGAAAATTTTGCAATATTGCAAAATATTTTTATAGAAAATTTTGCAATATTGCAAAATATTTTTATAAAAAATTTTTGCAATATTGCAACAAATTTCAATAGAAAATTTTGCACTATTGCAACAAATTTCAATAGAAAATTTTGCAATATTGCAAAATATTTTTATAAAAATTTGCAATATTGCAAAATATTTTTATAGAAAATTTTGCAATATTGCAAAATATTTTATTATAGAAAATTTTGCAATATTGCAAAATATTTTTATAGAAAATTTTGCAATATTGCAAAATATTTTTATAGAAAATTTTGCAATATTGCAAAATATTTTTATAGAAAATTTTGCAATATTGCAAAATATTTTTATAGAAAATTTTGCAATATTGCAAAATATTTTTATAGAAAATTTTGCAATATTGCAAAATATTTTTATAGAAAATTTTGCAATATTGCAAAATATTTTTATAGAAAATTTTGCAATATTGCAAAATATTTTTATAGAAAATTTTGCAATATTGCAAAATATTTTTATAGAAAATTTTTGCAATATTGCAAATATTTTTATAGAAAATTTTGCAATATTGCAAAATATTTTTATAGAAAATTTTGCAATATTGCAAAATATTTTTATAGAAAATTTTGCAATATTGCAAAATATTTTTATAGAAAATTTTGCAATATTGCAAAATATTTTTATAGAAAATTTTGCAATATTGCAAAATATTTTTATAGAAAAATTTTGCAATATTGCAAAATATTTTTATAGAAATTTTGCAATATTGCAAAATATTTTATAGAAAATTTTGCAATATTGCAAAATATTTTTATAGAAAATTTTGCAATATTGCAAAATATTTTTATAGAAAATTTTGCAATATTGCAAAATATTTTTATAGAAAATTTTGCAATATTGCAAAATATTTTTATAGAAATTTTGCAATATTGCAAAATATTTTTATAGAAAATTTTGCAATATTGCAAAATATTTTTATAGAAAATTTTGCAATATTGCAAAATATTTTTATAGAAAATTTTGCAATATTGCAAAATATTTTTATAGAAAATTTTGCAATATTGCAAAATATTTTTATAGAAAATTTTGCAATATTGCAAAATATTTTTATAGAAAATTTTGCAATATTGCAAAATATTTTTAAAGAAAATTTGCAATATTGCAAAATATTTTTATTTATAGATTGCAAAATATTGCAAAATATTTTTATTTATAGAAAATTTTGCAATATTGCAAAATATTTTTATTTATAGAAAATTTTGCAATATTGCAAAATATTTTTATTTATAGAAAATTTTGCAATATTGCAAAATATTTTTATTTATAGAAAATTTTGCAATATTGCAAAATATTTTTATTTATAGAAAATTTTGCAATATTGCAAAATATTTTTATTTATAGAAAATTTTGCAATATTGCAAAATATTTTTATAGAAAATTTTGCAATATTGCAAAATATTTTTATAGAAAATTTTGCAATATTGCAAAATATTTTTATAGAAAATTTGCAATATTGCAAAATATTTTTATAGAAAATTTTGCAATATTGCAAAATATTTTTATAGAAAATTTTGCAATATTGCAAAATATTTTTATAGAAAATTTGCAATATTGCAAAATATTTTATTATAGAAAATTTTGCAATATTGCAAAATATTTTATTTATAGAAAATTTTGCAATATTGCAAAATATTTTATTTATAGAAAATTTTGCAATATTGCAAAATATTTTTATTTATAGAAAATTTTGCAATATTGCAAAATATTTTTATTTATAGAAAATTTTGCAATATTGCAAAATATTTTTATTTATAGAAAATTTTGCAATATTGCAAAATATTTTTATTATAGAAAATTTTGCAATATTGCAAAATATTTTTATTTATAGAAAATTTTGCAATATTGCAAAATATTTTTATTTATAGAAAATTTTGCAATATTGCAAAATATTTTTATTATAGAAAATTTTGCAATATTGCAAAATATTTTATTATAGAAAATTTTGCAATATTGCAAAATATTTTTATTTATAGAAAATTTTGCAATATTGCAAAATATTTTTATTTATAGAAAATTTTGCAATATTGCAAAATATTTTTATTTATAGAAAATTTTGCAATATTGTTAAAGAAACCCCAAATTTATTTTTTCATCAGAATACTGTTTTTTAGTTTTTATTATGAAAAAAGCACCTGAAATTTAAAAATATCAAAATTTTACTTACAAAAAATTTTCAAATATTTCCATTACAAAATTCACCTTAAATTATCATAAAAACTAAACTAAGGTTTTCAAAACCTGGTTTGGCTAATTAGTTTTATACAAATTATTGTAATATTGAACAAATTCCGTACATTGTTCAGCTGCAATAGAAAAACAAAAACGCAGTTATAAAAAATTTTCAAACACAAAAAATTTACTCACTTTTCAAAACTCCATCGAACCATGCTGTTTTAAATTACACATTGAAAATACTTAAACACACTATGAAAGGTCATGTCATTTTGTGATTTCTGAGCAGCTTCTAAAAATTTCCTAGCCGATATACGACCCGCATCACTGGTATTAATGGCCAGGCGCAAAGCATCCACTACCTTACCCTGGCCCAGTAAAACTTCTATAATAATTTCGTGAGCTTTAATTTTTGTTAACATATCTAAGGCAACTTGTGAGACTGCAGGATCTTCATTAGAATGTGAGAGTAAATAACAGGCTATAGCCTTTGATTCCATAAGCAGTGAATACTCGGCCAAACGACGTAAAGTATCGAAACTTTTATTTAAAATTAATTCATTTATTAGCATTTTACTGAGATCCTCTTGGGCAGCTATATTATGTTTGCACAAAGATTGTAGATAAAGTAAAAGTATGGTTTGGCACTGTGGTTTCTCTACAATATATTGGAATACTTGGGTATGCATATCGATTTGTTCTATTAAAACTTTAGGAGGAGTGGGAGATTTGGGGGTGGTTTTAACATTTGAAGGTTGAGCTGTTTGATTTTGCAATTCCAAATGGACCCAGGATCTATAAAAGATTTAACAGTAATGTCATTTTTGTTGATAGCAGAAAGTGTTAAACTTACGCATATACTTTGTTGATCTTATTGAATATAGTTTCCAATACTGGTAAAAAGGCTCCATTGTATTGATCATCTACTAGTTGTCTGAGTACTTTTAGCAAAGTCTGTTTACCATTGTGACGTTGCAATAGAAATTCGGTTAATCTTATGCGATCTGATATTAAGGTGCACAGAGATTCAATGTCCAAGTGTAGATACCACATGCAACCTAATTTGGCATCTATAACAATGTTGGGTTGAAATAGAACCCAGTTTGTAGAATCTGGAAAAAAAGAACAGTTTTATAGAAATATTGCAAATGCTGCACATAGTACTCACATAATTCACATTGTAAAATTTGACCATCCGGTTGCAAACTGGGCAACTTTAAGGCAAAAGGTCTTATCGATCGGCCAGCAGTAATGGGAGAATGATATGTTATATCATTAACTATCTCACCGCTAAGGGAAATATCAAACAATAAAGAAGTAGCCGAGGCCTGATGATGAACCACAATTAAATTATCCACCGTATTAATGGCAAAGCGTCCCACCAAACCCAAACGTAAAACATGACATTTACGAGGTGCCAAACCGGGGCCATTCAATAATAAACTTCAACCTCAATCATACCCGAGGCACTAGCTTGTAAGATCAAAACAGCCATAACACCATAGATTTGACCCAAAGTAACTTTACTCTCCTGGATTTCGCGGTTGGAACTGCCCACTTAAAGAAATTTTTTTATAAAGTGATCTGGTAAACATATTCTATACTTACAATCAAGTTTGGGCAATTTGGTTATAGATTTTTGTTTGATCAATATCGGTATTAAAGAACTATTACTATCGGCTGTACACAAAACAGCTATATTGGCCTCGGAGCACCAGGCAAACCATTTAATACTCATACTCATGGCTTTTACGGACTTCACTTGACTTTTCTCTGCCACTATGGTGAATATTTCCACACCCGAATTCGATATTAAGGCACATTCTCTATTATGTACCCAAACAAAACCATAAATTAAGGCTTTGACTTGATGTACGATAATTTCCTGCAGCATGGGTTGATCACCCTGAAAGCATATAAATTCTACCGAATTTTCACGTCTTTGTACGGCTAAAATTTGATTATCAGGAGAAAATTTGATGGAACGTATAGCACCACGATCGGTCATACAAAATGAAATTATCTTATCCTCAGAAGGACCTTTAACGACCACACCGGTGGCGCCACCCGAACGTACGGCAAAGATCTGTAATAGGAAAATATCATTTGCGTTTAAGGTTTAACAATAATCAATGTTAGACCTTGAATTTGAAAAAAAAAGAGGCGTCTCATATTACCTGCTTATTGGAATCATCAAAAAAGACATTAGTTAATTGACTAACTGCATCGAATCTTATAGG